ACATGGTAAATTGAGGCACAGAATGGTGAAATTACTTGTTTAAACGTTGTCTGTGGCAGGGGAAAAAACAGAAGCGTGTTGCTCAAATCTTACACCTCTTTATTATTCCTGTGTTGGTTTAACAGAGGAATTAGAGTTCCTTGCATAATCCTGACTTTTCTGGCTCTAATGATACATGAGTACAATCCGCTGATCATATTTCCCTGATTTTTCTGACTGCAAAATGAGGTCTTTTATAATGTAGGTGAAAGTGGTGGAAAGGCTGATTCGGACCCCCCACCTCCGTGTCCCTGGAGATTTTGGTACTTGTAGGAAGTTACGTGGTGATCAAAGCCAATGCATCTGCCCAACACTTCGCAGAGGCACGGTCGTTCTGCAGGTTCGCTCCCCTGGTCCCGAGCAGTTTAACCGTGAAAACAGGATATGGTACAACGGGCCAGACCTGATGCACTGTTTTATCGGAGTCTGCTGTCATTAATCTCCGTCTTTATGAATGGTGGGGAAATGGCAGCTGTACACAAGGATAAACAGCCGACGCAGCAGAGATGCTTTGAACTGCTACGCTCCTCTGGGGAAGAGATTTGAGATAAAGCCGAATCTGGAAAGCATCAGTGGTGGTGCACCGAGAGCCACTGATCACCCCCGCCGCTTCGGACCTTTCCACCACTTTCCGTCCCCCTCACCCTGGGGCGGGCACCCTCCTCCCCCTCTTCCCCGTGCTGTCCGCAGCCGCGGGGCCGCGAGTGGAGCGTGGCTTTGCGGGGCAGTGAGCCGATGTCCCCTTACTCACTCCGTCCGCACATCTGCCGCGACCCTGCCACATCTGGCCGCCGCCCCGCCGCGGGGCAGCATCTGCCGGCACATCTGGGCGCGCGCGGCCCCTCCCCGCGGGCACATCTGTCGGCGGCGGGGGGCGGCCCCGCGGCGGGGCGGGAGGAGCGCGGGTCGGCGCAGCCCCGCCGCCGGCCGGGGCGGGCAGAGCCGGCGCGGCGCGGAGGGGAGCGACGGCCCGATGGGGCGGCCGGCCGCCAGCCTGGCCCCGCTCCGGCTGCTGCTGCTCCTGGCGCTGGGACACGCCTGGACCTACCGGGAGGAGCCGCAGGACGGCGACAGGTGGGTGTTGCGATAGCGAGGCTGCTCCCGTGCGTTTCCTCCCCATCCACCACCTCCTTTTTCTTTTTCCTGCCTTTTGGGGTTTTTTTTCTTAATACTCCGACTCCCCACCTTGCAGGGAAGTTTGCTCCGAGAACAAAATCGCCACCACCCGGTACCCCTGCCTGAAACCCACGGGAGAGCTCACCACCTGCTTCAGGTGAGCGCCGCGGCCGCGGAGGACGGGGCAGAGGGGGCGCGGGTCTCACGCGTGCCCGCGGCTGGGGACTCGCTGCCCGCGGGGAAGGCGGCGGAGGACACACGCGTGTGGGTGTCAGGCGCAGGGACGGCAGCTGTGGCAGCTGTTTGTCTCCCCCCTGCTCTGTGCTAGCCCCCCCCCGGCATTCCCACCACCCCGCGGACCGCGGAGCAGGTAACTTGGTACTTGATCACATCCTTCCCGCGTTCTGCATCTCCCCTGGCAAGTCCTGCAGCTGTCCCAGGGTAGGGTTTCGGTAACTGGCTGCAAACGTCACCTCCGAGACATCGCTGGAGAGGGCGCGTGTGGTTCTCATTGCTGTACCGAAGGCACAGACAGCTTTTGATACGGTGGGAGAGGCTTCCTCTGACCTGGCTGTCCGGTACCACATCGAAGCTACAGCTGCATCAGTTCCAGGGTAATCAGTGAGATTGCCTGGATTTGTGCTAGGCAAAAGATATCTTAAGTTAGTTAGATGAATCACACTCTCAGAATTAGTAAGTTCTTCAGCAACCAGTTAGGAAGGAGAAATTCGGCAGAGGCTTCTCAAATTAAGTAAAATTAATCTAATCCTGAGTTTTCATTTTTCAGCTGTGTGTTTGAGAAACATCATCTATTTTAATGATGACAGCTATCCAGAGCAGTTGACAGCGGATGTGCTTTTTTCAAGAGCTGTACACAAAGTATGAGCACACACGTATCCCTTCCCTGATGCCCCCGGGTTAGCCTCGTCCCCACAGACGAGATGTTTCATGTATGAAAGCTGCTTCTTGTGAGAGGTTGCTTTGCGGAGGCAACTGTTCTCTGCCTCTGTGTGAGTGTATGCTCGCATGTGGCAGGGAGCCACTTCTGTATACCAAAAATACATGTAGAAAGTGTTACAGAGATCGTCCATCTCTTCTGTTTGGCATTAGTTCCAAAGAGCTGCAGACGCACAGTGCAGCAGCATTGTCACACTCCCATGCTCTCAGGCTTGTTCACACTCTCCAACAGCCACAGCCACGTGGGACAGTGTCTTGCCACTGCCCAGTTCTTAGCAATATTAGCTTCCTCCCAGGCCCTGGGAAGGGCTCTGCAGGGAACGGAGACCCCCCCTTCCCTGCATCCCTTATCTTCTCTCTCTCCTCTCCCTGCGAGCCCTCTTACAAACAGTTCTGTAGCACCCAGTGGCAACACATTTTGGAGAGGGACAGTGTGTGGGTTTTGCAGGGTAGGTTTTGCAGGTACTTGGTTGAATCTGCTGCATTTCTCTGTTTTGGGGGCAGAGCACTAAGGTGGACAAGACTGTTCTGAGTGGGGAGTTACTGAATGAAGAAGCCAGAGTGGGAGCTGTATAAGGCAGCACACACATGACCACCCTGCTCTTTTGTGCATGTCCCAAAATCCGTCTGAGGAAAGTGATTCTGCTTTGTATGTGACAGAGGACTGCACAGGCTCCACTGGCTGCTATGGACTGTTGTGCAAAGAAAGCAGGACTCTGTCCAGCTGCCAAGTCCCACTTGTGCTTTCTTTCATCCTTCCTGAGGTATTTCTGACCTTTGGGCTCTGGTTGTGATGAGCCTCCTTCCCTCCCCAGCTCTCCCTCTGCACAGCCCCAAGTGATATTCACTGTCCCAAATCAGCACAGTCTGTGTTGATGAGAATTTCCAAATTGCTGCATTGAACTCTTGGTTGTTTTAGTTCAAACATATTCTGTATCATCTATGACTTCCAAATCTCCCTTGCTTTAAAAAAGAAAAAATTCCATTTCTGTGTAGTCATCTATTTTTAGGGTTTAACCTTTAGGCTTGGGTGAAGGCTCCATTCCCCACCCTGCGAGTTCTCTTTTGTGTTGTCCATGTGCAAGAAAAGGGCAGCAACTCTGGGAGGGAGCACCTCTGCTCAGCAGAGCAGCTCTGCACTGAGCACACACCTGAGCTGCAGTGTGCTGGCAGTCCTGCCCCTCGGACCTGCAGCATCACCCACCCGAGGGGGTGAACCTCAGAGGCAGAACAGCACCCCCAGTTACTCTGGGTAGCAAGGTGTGCTCTCCACAGACACGTGGGATTACCCTTGGCAGGGCACATTTTAATGTAAGATTCATTAATATTTTGAGGTTGAGGCTGTTAACAAGAAGACAGGAAACTTGCAAGTGTTGACTAATCCTTTGGTACCTCAAGGTGGATTTTATTTCATAGAACATTCAGGAGCTTAAGGATTCAGTTTTCAATTCTGGAATGACAACCAACACTTAAAGAACTTCAGCTTGGTGGAAACTCAGCTATGCCTTTTAGGAGCCTTCACTCCAGGTTTCAGATAAACTTGATTTTGGTGTTCTAGAATTTATTCCTACAATACTTTATTTTTTATCTTCCTAGACACCTTTTCCACAGTATTTCATAATGACAATAGTTATGTAATTTATATGCATTGTTTGAGGTAGATAAAGGATAGTTAATGTCAGCTTCTATTTACTATTAGCAGAACACCTAACTTCTTTTCTAGGTCAAAGTTCCATTTGTGTAGAAGTTATACAAACTGACACCAAATTTATCATAGCAGATTACATCATAACACATCAGGCATAAGGCTACAAGCATCACTACTGATAATTTGTTGTGCAAGTAGTTAAGTAAAATAAGGAATACATATGAAGTTGGATGTCAAAACTCCTGACCAAAATGTTTGATGGAAAGTAGTTTTGTACTTTTATTCCTCCTGCTGGAATTTGTCTTGAAAATCAGCATGTTTTTAGACCATTTCAATAAAAATAGCATCTTTTCATCACAAAAAATATTCCTTGATTTTATTTTTTTTAACCAGATTTACTCATGATTAAAGATGATCCAAGTGGAAGGGCCAAGCCAGAAGTGGGGCCAAGCACTGAGAATACATTGGCGTTTTTCCCTGTGGTCATAGCAACCACGTACACAATCAGATGTATTTTTTTTCTTTTGAATGTGTGCAGTCTGGCCCTTGGTTTAGTTTGATTTGTATTTTTTTTGTGTCCTCTGTATTTGTTTTCATAAGAGTACAGAGGAACAGATGCAAAAAGCAGAGGGCGTTATACAAAATCTTTTCTGTGAAAATCGCATTTAAACTCTTGTATGTAGCTGCACAAAGTAGTCAGTACTAATGTCCCCACCATGTAGGTATGGAGAACTTCTGCAGATTTGGTGATAGTGGTATGGCCCAGTAAGACTTTGAATTCCTACTGTATGCAAAAATTCATCAAATTTTAGGAAATTTGGGCAGCGTGAGAATATGAAGCTCCAGTCTCTTGTTAGTGTCTTCTCCGATTATTTGGATGTGATATTAACCTGTTTCACTCTCAGACAGACTACCAAACACTTTGTTGGCATGGAAAATTACACGAATGTTGCATTTTTCTCCAGTGCCTGCGTCAATTTAGTTTGTGCTTCCTTGCAGCAGTCTTTTCATTATAGTCCTTCCTTCATTTCCATTTTAAACAGTGCTCCTGCATGTTGTTACTCTGGTCCAGAAGGAAAAGCAGCATCTAGGACAGGTATCCCCTTCATCCTGACTGTGGAGCTGTGTTCCCCTCAGGAAGTGTCAGTGGTTATATCACTTCCAAATTTGAGAGGATCAACGTCTAATCTGGCACAATTTATTAATTGGAGTTGCTCCCTTTTGAAAAACCAGCAAACTTGATTACCACAGTAACTGTTATGTATTAGGAGAGCTAAATACTTTACTCAGTTAGAATTCAGAAAGTGCAGTGAATTATTCAGAATTATTCAATAGACACACTTTAGAGAAACATTTGCTAGTGGGAAGCTGTTAGAAGTTGTAGGAAGTCTCAAGCATGAAACACGGGAAAATAAGAGTATTTTTATTGCCTGACTGTACCCATCTCTTTGCCTACTAGACAAATATTTTGTAAGTTGACGTGAAAGAAACAGTCTTGCTCCTCCTCAGAAAATTTTTATAAAATGTTAAATTAAGGAAACCAGGAAGGGTAAATCAGGAGATGAAAATTTGAACCTGGATCTGCACAGCCAGGGATAACATTTTAGCCATTGCCTTCATGGACTAAGGGAAGATTTGGGGTTTTTTTCTTTTATTCAGATGAAACTGTTAGACTAAATTAATTTAAAATCAGACTAAATGTTAGTCTGATTATTTTTAAATCAAATAGATTATTGACATGGTAAGAGAAATTATCCATCTTTCTCTGACCATATGTAGTCTCCTGTATTTTTTGCTGAAAATGAAGCGTTCATTCACCCTAATATACCCTAATTTTTGTGTGTATAGTGAGGGAGACTGCTCCTGGTCCTTCCTTCTGCAGGATCAGCAAGGAATAAGCAGTTTACAATTAGGGTGCTGGGGAGAACACTTCTAGATAATGATGGTGAAATCTTTGTAAAGATGGGCCAAATCTTTACATATATCTCCAAACAAGCCCCATGTTGTGGAACATAAACCTTGGCTTAGAACTTAATCTGTAACTTTTTTTTTTTTTAGTATTTTGCAAGCAAGGTCTCTTAAATAGGATGACAACATTCCAGTGGAGGTTGTCAGATTCTTCATCTGATAGTTAGCAGCTACAGGTATTTTGCATAGGCCTTTCAAGCACTTCAGGCTTCAAATTATGCTGTAAAAAAATATTTTACACTTCATAACAAAAAGACAATTCAAATGTATTGTGGAAGACAACGCATATATATTTATACCCTACTTTGTTCTGATGCTAAACAGAGATCACATACCTCAAAAAGCATTTGTTTTTACCCTCTTCAGTGCTGGTACTGCTGGTGAAGACTACTATTTTTATAGACTGTATCATTTTGCACATTCTTAAAAGATAAAAGTAATTGCAAATAAACTGGACTGTAGCTGTTTCACAAAGAGCAGCACTTTCACTAATATGCCCTTGGGGACCATATGCAATTCCTGGTTCCCAGATACTCGGCGAGCATGCTGCAGAGCTTTCCAACATGAGAAAAAAATTACTGTAT